GTGACAGTGAATGCATATACATCCCACATGCACGCGTGTCAGGCCCGTAGCCGAGGGGGCATTTGAGGGCAATGCCCCCCACAGATGAGTGCTGCCCCCTCGGGGGGGACCTAAAACAGTTTTACGATGTAAGATGTGTGTGGGGTTTCCAAAATGACCCCAGGCTCTGTCAGGGAAGCTTCAGTCTCGTTTTCTTTTTTCCGGGCCAAAAAATAAATAGGTTTTTAAAAATGCAAATAAAATAAAAATTGCAAAAAATAAAATCAAACTGCAAAATACAAATGAGAGAGAGTTAGAGATCCCCCCCCCCCGGCTTACATAGAAAAGCAGCCTGGAATTTAGTCTCCTCAATTGAAAGGACTAGAGGCGGACTAGAGGTTGCAGTGGAGCCAGAGCTGCTGCTTCTGCTGCGGCAAGAGGAGCAGCAGGCGTGGTCGGGGTGCCCCCCTTGGGTTTCCCCATGCCCTACCTACCAAAATTTTCTGGCTATGCCTGTGATGTGTGTACGCCTGTTTGTAAAAATCAGCCAATACACAAGCACTCTGCAGATGCTACACCAATGTTCTGTATACCAACCACATGTTTGTTCAGCTGCCTCACATGTAGATTGGGAAACATGTGGATTTTCCATGTGGGTGCAGTTTCTATTCCTCTGGACTGGACTGTAGTCCTTGTGAATGCAACCTGTATAGAATATCCACCTGTTTCCCAGTTGACATGATAACAGCGATCGCATGAATCGGATGCAAGAAGGGGACCCATGCACTCCTAATACACATAGCTGGTGGACTCCCACTGGAATATGTCAGCATAATATCCCCAGAGGGTTATATAAACTTTTCAAATAAAACTGGGGACAACTGTCTGGATAAATAGCGGGTTGAAACTGCATATCCACCTGTACATGTGTTGGATATAATGTAAGAAGTATTTAGTGCATGCACAACAAAAAAAGTATTAAGCATTCAGCTCTTAAGTGCATTCAGTGTAAGTTGTGAACAGTGTTCATGCATTCACTATAGTGTATCCATGGTTTAGTATGTTCTGCTTTTTTCATTTTTCATTTTAAAATGTTAGGCACATTCATGGAGTTTTCTACTGTGCAGCGTTTCAGGATCATGAGACTGGGTCCCTGTTAGGCACATGAAGGATAGCACTGGAGGCATGGCTGTCACTTTTCCAAAAACACATTGCCTGCAGACAGCATTCGTTCGCTCTGCAGTGGCCTTTTGTTTGCATATCCTGCCTATGAACTTCCCAGAAATGTCTGGCTGATAACTGCAGGGAGTGTTGAACTGGATGGACCTTTGACTTGATTTGCTGGAACTCTTCTGTTACGAATTGCGGTGGGGTGGTGGTGGTCAGGCTAGATGCTGAATCAGCATTCCATTAGGGGGCTGGTACCTCTGTCAGATACGTTGTGAAGGTTGGGGTGGGGACATGGGAGGAAACAAACCAAAATTGGGCCCTGATTTGCATGTGGGGTGGCTGTCTGGGGCCCAGTGATTCACTGCTGCTAAGCTAAATGCTTCTGGAAGGTGCTTCTGCTTATTAGCTAAGAGCCAGTTTGGTGTAGTGGCTAAGAGAACAGGCTTTAATCTGGGAGAACCGGGTTTGATTCCCCACTCCTCCATGTGCAACTGCTGGTGTGACCTTGAGTCAGTCACAAGTTCTTTCAGAGCTGTTCTCTCGGGAGCAGTTTCTGCATTCTGTCAAGAGCTCTCTCAGCCCCCCTAGCTCACAGGGTGTCTGTTGTGGGGAGGGGAAGGGAAAGGAGATTGTAAGCCACTCTGAGACTCCTTCAGGTAGTGAAGGGTGGGGTATAAATCCAATCTCCTCCTCCTCTTCTTATAATTAAAGCAACCCCCTCCCATATTGGCGATGCACCACTGAAATCAAGTAGCTTAAGCACACTTGACAGCTGGGTTGTAGCATTTGAAATTTCAGTATCTCGTCAAGGGCTTTGTATAACATTTCAAAATCCTATGTAAATATTTGCCTAGTGTGAAAAGTTTACCGCGCCTTTCAAGGAAATGTGGTACAGAGCCGATCCCCCCCCCCCCAAAACATGAAATAGGAAAGAGAGGAAGGAAGAGAAAGGGGAAGGCCCAAAAAGAGAGTCAAGAGGAATAGCTGATTTATTAAGGAAAGCTCACTTGAGTGGTGTGTCAGGAACATGAGTTATGCAAGAGTAAAATCTCATGGCTTATTTCCCCCCCCCCCATACATGCTTTTGAGCGTCTTCCTTCCTTCGTTCTTGATGTGGAAGCATCAAACAACACGCTAGATTGTAAGACCATAAGAGTAGTGATGCCGGATCAGACCAAGGTTCTATATCCTGGTTCAAGCAGCAGCCAAACGTGAAGGAAAAAGTTATATTCAGTAGCATGGCCAGTTTGGTGTAGTGGTTAAGTGTGCAGACTCTAATCTGGGAGAACCGGGTTTGATTCCCCACTCCTCCGCTTGCAGCTGCTGGATGACCTTGGGCAAGCCATAGTTCTGATAAGAGCTGTCCTTGAAAAAGAGCAGTTTCTGTCAGAGCTCTCTCAGCCCCACCTACCTCACAGGGTGTCTGTTGTGAGGAGGGGAAGGGAAAGGAGTTTGTAAGCCGCTCTGAGACTCCGAGTGAAGGGCGGGGTATAAATCCAGTCTCTTTTTCTCTGAACATTATAGCTACCATGGCTTAAAGCTGTTAACAGACCTGTCCTCTGTGAATTGGCACAGTCTCCTAAAGCCAGGGCAGTGATTCACGATCACATTTTGTGACGGTGATGGAAACTCAGTAGACACATGCGTGGGAAGGAGGGTCACTGAGAACCAATCAAGGCACAGTAAGCAAAACAGAGAGGCCTTCACCCACCGGCAGAAGACAGTGATAGAAGGAGACAGATAAATTGTTCTGGATAGGGAATTCCATAGGTTTGGTGCCACGACCGAGAAGGCCCTTTCTTGGGCTGCCACCTGTCTAACTAGGGTTGCCAAGTATTTTTTACTCACCGGCGGGGGAGCGTTTCCTCAGTCCAGGAGATGTTTGCGGATGCGCGCGCAGCGCATGCGCGCCGCCAGAACATCACAGGAAGTGACGCACAACGTAGAGCACATTGGGGGCGTGGTCCAGATCGTTGGGGGAACCATATGGTTTCCCCCCCGACGATCTGGGCCACGCCCCCAACGTGCTCTACGTTGTGCGTCACCTCTGGGGACGCAGCCCCGGGGCCTGATTCCGCAGCGGCGGAAATCGGGCCTCTGAAACAGGGGTTTACCCGTTCCCTGCCCCCACTTGGCAGTCCTATGTCTAACCTTAGATCAGGGCTGTGGTCAGACGATAGGCTTGGCGTGCTCTGGCCCTGCCTCTGATTTCTCCGTTTCATTTTGTAACAGAGAGTTTGGCTCAGACATCCCACCCTGAATCCGCCTCACTGCACGTTCACTCTGTGGTTAACTGTTCAGATTATCGCTGCACAGTAACGACAGGGTGGGTGGTCGGGCTGCATCCTTAAAAAAAAATGTCTTTCATGCATGTGCAGAAGCGTTCACTTGAATCATCACTTCATTTTGACATCTCCGCGATCCCTCAGCCAAGTACTGCGGCCCCTCTCAGCCTCCTTCACCTCTCTTCCTTGGACTGCATGGGGGGGAGTGTGCAGATTTACATGAGAGTAGTCCCATTGACTTCAGTACATTTAACCTCGTTTCAATAATGAGATGCTCTCAAACATCAGCTCTGAAGCAGAAACAGGAGGGTTTTTTGGGGGGGATTTGGTGCTCAAAAGCTCCCCTGGGGGCTCCCAATCCAGAATGACTACTTGGCTGCTTGCAAGCGGTGATTGACAACGCCAGGTGCGATTATGCACTTATGAGCACATCGCTAAGAAATCAAAAGGGGGAGGGGCAAAGATGGAACGGAAGGTTCACACTCTCAACCAATGCTCCCTCTAAGCTGTGGAGTCTTGTGAGCAAAAATTCTCCTTGGTGAGCTAATGGCATTGAAGTTGTGAGCGAGTGATTTGGCTACTGCATGAATTAGTTTGCTCTGGAGCCCTCCTTCCTGTGCTAAGACAGAAATGTGTGAGCCGGAGGCTAAAAAACAGTGAGCTAGCTCACACTAACTCAGCTTAGAGGGAACACTGCTCTCAACCAGCTTGATTTCACAGCAGGAGAGTTCAGACAGCTGGAAATGTGGGGTGAAAGCACAGACATCTGTAAAGAGCGGACTTTCCGTGGTACCTGATAACTCCAATTTGAAGGCTGCTCAGAATGGGTGGCACCGACTAGGAAACGGGAGGCAGACGTTGCTGTCTGATCATGCACTTTAAATCCGGAAGGGAACCACAAGGACATCGGCTCAAGCTGCCCGTCTGACCACAGCCATAGTTATTTTTTCCTTCGATTGCATGTGGTTCAAGTCACTAGAAATGACTTGGTCTCCAAGCACCGTAAAGTGCCTCCCTACTGTTTGCATCGCACTCTGGCCTGGGTCACATTTGGTCTGTGAAGACGAAGAGCTTTGAAAGCTCTCCTTATCCTTGTGGCATTGGTTTCATAGAAAAGACTTTTGGGATTTGATCTGCAGCAGAATGAGCATAGTTGTGCTAGAGAAAGGCAGGTGTCTGTCCCCCCTCACGCGTACAGTCCCGCAATGTGTGCTCC